GGCTGAATCAGCGGACTCTGCTACACCTACAGTGCATCGTATGAAGGTATTCCTGATGTGGTTCTTCTTGCTGACACAACACATTCATCTAAGCATTTGAATTTCTACGTAGCAGCCGTTGTTCATGCTCTTTCAGGGTGGTCAAACATTTTTCTTCGTACAGATTGCCTGACTTATTTATCGTCCTATGCATATTTACTTTTAGTTTAATGGGTATCTTCTTGTCGAGCGGTACTTCGCTCACTTCACTCCATTTGCGCCACGTTTTTCAAACCAATTTCTTAATTCACTATCGATTTCCCAACTGTCTTGCAGGTTGGAACCAAAATACTTTAAGCCTTGCGCATGGAGCGGTATTCTCCTCGCTACATGCATTGATTCGATGTCTTTCCTTCTTTTCTAAGCGCTGAAATAGACCACCGTACATTCTGACTTGCCTTTGTCGATCCGAAACCGTTCTTCTCAAGGCTTGTTCTCCATGCCTCAGTTTTTGCTGTAACTCCTTCACTGCGCAGCACTCCCTCGTTTGCGTATAGAATGCGGTATGTGTCTGGGTCCTGCAGGTCTTTAGTAATGGCATCTGGCGCTATTGAGAATAGAAAAGAACCAGCTGCTGAATCTCACCGGCCAGTGCCCGCACAGGGTACTTTTCTATTTCGCTTTATATGCTTCGATCAATCGAAGTTACTCTAGCCCATGTCCATGCAAGTAGGTTGGTAGGCCTAACTTTTTTCTTGCACAAACTTTATGCTCAGCCAAATACCCACTTGAAGCATTTTCGCGCCATCGAGGCCGTAAAGGGTAAAAAAGTACTGCTGTTCATCTGCAAAATGTCGCCATTACTCCTGTCAGCAACGAGGACCGCGTTCTGACGGCGACGTACTTTTGCCAGGGCGTCGTTTGTCAACCAAAGCGCGAAAGACCGTGACCAAGTGGTCCTTCCTGTAATGAACGCGTTTGACAAAAACTGCTCTGACACATGGCCATAGAACAGAACGATGAATGGGTGGCCGTTGGCGGGCACGAAGTACATGCGAATTCACAAACACTGTAGATCACACAATGATGCATGGCGGTGACCGATCAAGTGTCGTATGACAGTGTCGTGCCGTTCATTGTTACGACGCCGGTCGAAGTATCGTACCTACCGGCTAGCAACCTTCACGTTGCAGTCACCCTGTGCTGCCGCCATCGTCTAGCGCAACAGTGAAACATGAACGGTTAATTCGTGCGACGAAAGCGACCCATTCGTCTGATAAACATCTGACTAAACCCACTCGACTAAACAGACGGCCGTTCATTGGTCAGAATCAAGAATGAATCGAATCAATCGAATCAAAGCAACAGATGAATCTTCGAGCAATCTACCCGCTTCATTTCGATTCGATGATTACCTGTCCGAGTTCATTAATTCATTTTTTATGCAAAAGTTAAGGCTTATGGGTGTATTTTTCAGATCTCTGAAATCTTACACACCCACGATTATTTAACGTTCTGGCGAGGTGCGAGGAAAATCAACTTCATATAGTTCGATTTAGGTGCGGACAATTCTCCTCTCACCCTCTCGTCCTCCCAGAAATCCATCCTATGTGCTTTGCCGCGATAAGTAGCAAAATTAAGCAAAGCGATTTTCGTTTACTTTTACTTTGGTTTAGTGTAGTGTTTCATGATCTGTTTGACAGCGAACGGCTATTAAATGCGATTTTATTCCATCGGAACAAAGCAGCACACGTGCATGAGTTAAGGTTATATCAAGATTTCATGGCAAGCAGGTGCCGCAGTTGAAACCGTTTCACAATTACTGAAATTTAAGTTCAATTACAATTGAACTTGACAAATTTCAGTAGCGACTCAGAACGTATTCAAAGCGGTTAATAATGAAAGGCGGAAAAGAATGAAATGACATTAGTGTTGTAGCAGATGGTTCAGTCTTCGGTTAACCGATGATTAACTTGATCTACTTTCTCTAGGGGATTATGGATGAAAATGACTACGACAGGTCTTTGTTTCGTGTGCATCATATATTATTTAAACTAATACTTAGAGCAAGCTTACGAACATGCCTTGTTCCAACTGCCCAACTGATTAACGCGGTATTGCGTCCATGCACTTTGCACGATCGAGCGACGCGCCGTGGCTTGCTTAAGTGGCCTCAAAGGTATCATAAATCGCCTAGGCAAGGGCGGTGAGACGTTGCCATATGACTCTGTATTGGTGAAAACAACGACAATAGGTAAATTAAAAAATCTTAAATCTATGAAAATGATTTAAATCTGAATTTATGAACAACAGCGGCCTGTATGCGCAAGGTCACAATATTCATTTCTCACCAACCCCGTCCTGTCCTGAATGTTAGGCAACCAACAACAAGTAGTCTGTTGAAGTGTTAACCGGTTAACGCTTGCAATTTCCGAACTACGAAAGTGAAAACATCTTTGCCAAGTAGCCTGAACAAATGACAAGACTTTTGAGCAAACAACTCTAATACGGTTTCATACAAACGGGCTTGAAATCCATACAGCTTTGACGAACCACACACGACAAGAGAGAATTAGCTGAACCGGTGATCATTATTTCATAGCAAATGTGATTTCTTGGACCAGGGTAAGCAACGCCATGGTATCGCACCACTGCTACTAGATGTAATGAATGCATGAATTCTCATTGGCAGTTAATAAGCAAAGTGCCCCCTCGAGCATAATTCTGTTCGTGTTGTACTCAGAATACCTTATTTACTCAAGCTTGCTTTGAATGAAGTAAAAAACTTGTCAACTCTGAGTTACAATTGCTCTATTAGCACGTCATTTTGTAGAAAGTAGGCATAGAAGGTAGTTGTTTCGCTTTGTATTGGGGGTTCGAATTTAAAAGTAAGGAAACTTTTTCGTATTACCTGCTAGGCAAGAATACTTTGAGCAACTCCACTGGGTTTCGGTACAACCAACCGAGAAACGGGTAGCAAGATGATTACCCACGAACAGTACGGGCAACATTGTGTTCCAATGTGGTCACGATGGCGCTGGCGAGGCCTGTGAGTATGCTGCCTGATTCGTATGTTTCACCACTGCTATTCGATTTCACTCACATGACAGCTGACTAAATCAGCACATGATGTATTTGTAAATTTAGATTTTCACTTGTAATAGGTTCTCACAACTTACTAGCAAGGCTCTTTTATGAGTTCTCAGACAAATCACTGGACTTCGTAGGGTCGTTTCCACTATGTCTGTATTAGAAAGTTTCTTATACGTCTTTCAGCCG